CTTCATATTTTTACTTCACCAACACAACTACATTAATTACTCTTCATAGTTTTACTTCACTAACACAACTACATTAATTACTCTTCATAGTTTTACTTCACTAACACAACTACATTAATTACTCTTCATAGTATTACTTCACTAACACAACTACATTAATTACTCTTCATATTATTACTTCACTAACACAACTACATTAATTACTCTTCACATTTTTACTTCACTAACACAACTACAAAGTTCTGATTTATCTATTTTTATTTAAGTTTAAATTTTCTACGCACTTGAGAAATGTGGTGTGAAAATCTTTGGTAAAACTAAAAGTGAAGCCTTACACAGATAATCGTTCGAAAAGGCAATATTTTTGTGAGCTTGGGCATTATGCTAGACTCTTAGGTTGTATCTCTGTAGTTCTTTAAATACGGACAGATGTTACAATTATATCACTATTTGTCTATCAGATGGTTCGCGTAAGTATACACTTGACCACACGACCACCTGGTGGAAACAAGTAGTAGCTAAGATGTTCTATTGGTCCGGTCTAATGAGTTTTCAATGTCTTTAGGTGTTCGACTAACGCTTTCCCTGAAGAGTTCGTCTTTTAAATTGCTAAGTTACTCGCAAAATATAGTAAAAACTCACTTCTATCACGTCTGGACAAACACAGCAAAACAACGACTTAAGTCATACATTTACGAAAAGGCACGAATACAACGGATCCTGATGCCTCAAAACAGGCTCAGAACATTAAGGCCGGAGGTGCTCTATAAGAGAGACAGTCAAATCCCGCTATTCGATCAAACAAGGGTAGCCCAAGAGTTGGTGGTTGGTGCTGTTGACTATCTGCCTTCCCTCTAATCTGTCAGTTCAAAATTAGGGACGATTATGCGCATATAGCCCATATATAGCTATAATTTCATTCTCTTTTAGATATACAATTATATAATTAATATTTGAATCCGTCGATACTTGATGAACTCCCATAATTACAGAAATAATAAAAACAAATATTTAATTAATCATTACGATTGTTTCGCTAGCGAATTATTAATAAAATTATTATGTTTATTATCTAATAAATTCGGCTTCTTCTCTTGCTACATAATTCGAGCCTATATTCGCTATTTTAGGCCTAACAACATATATATATATGGAACGTTATTAACTTCACGTTGCTCTGCCTTCTTCTAAGCTTGTTAAGCCTAAATAAGGGTGTGGAATACTAAAGATGCTTCTTAAGTAAATGAGCTGGAATTAAAACAAACAATTCCGAGCGAACAAGAATAAACACTAGTAGGGAGTTCCATAACACAAGAAACGTTAGCCACCGAAAGAAAAGTCCCGAACGATAAAAAAAAAAAAAATCTTTCTGAAATGTTTGAAAAGAAACCATATCAAACAACTTAATAAGCACAGAGCTTAAGAAGGAAACACTGGAGGTGGCTCATTTTAAGGCTAGTTGTTTGCACGAGGTGTCCATTGGTAGCTCTACTCGAATCCAGGTGTTTACTTGGCTGTGTCAGAATTCGATCATCCAAAGCCACGAGAAGGGAAGATCCGAGAAGGACCCACTTACTTTATTTTTAGGCACGTCTAGTACTAAACCTAAGGCAAAAATGGAGTTGTGAAACACACGTGAGAGATATAGTTAGATTAGGTTTAAAATAACGCTTTACCGAATGAATTGGCTTCAAAACGGAAACCTATTTTATGCCACAAAGTCTACGAATTTTCCAGTCTATTTACAAATAATTCTATGTAAAGTATAATTATCAAATACGAAACAGATAAACGCACTAGAAAAGTTAAAACTGTTTGTTATCGAAATAAATATTACGACAAAAGAGAAAAGGAAAACATATGGTACAAAAAATAAAGAACATTAATTGATTGCAATATACCAAACAGACTGTCATTTCTCAAACACATTTACACCAAAAAATAAAGTGTTAAACTTATAACTAAAGCATAAGGAAAGTAAAGTTTAAAACTAAAGTATAAGAACAAAACTAAAAAGTAAAATTTTAAACTAAAGAATAAATACAAGATTGCAAAAAAAAAGAAAATATAAGCAAATTAATGAAAAGAACAACAAAAGAAACAACAAAATAAGTTTATTTCTCTTCTCATATCACATCAAAATACGTCCAGAAGTATTCTTTCACTACCTCATTACTGACCATATGGAGGAAGGAACATCGAAATACGTCCAAGAGTATTCTTTCACCACCTCATTACTGACCATATGGAGGAAGGAACATCGAAATACGTCCAGAAGTAATATTTTACTACCACATTACTGACCATATGAAGGAAAGAACATCGAAATAAGTCCAGAAGTATTCTTTCCCCACCTCATCAATGACCATATAAAGGAAATAACATCGAAATACGTCCAAGAGTATTCTTTCACCATTAAATTACTGACCATATGGAGGAAAGAACATCGAAATACGTCCAGAAGTAATATTTTACCACCACATTACTGACCATATGAAGGAAAGAACATCGAAATAAGTCCAGAAGTATTCTTACACCACCACATTACTGACTATATGAAGGATAGAACATAGAAATACGTCCAGAAGTATTCTTACACCACATTACTGACCATATGAATTAAATAACATTGAAATATGTCCAGAAGTATTCTTACACCACCATATTACTGACCATATGAAGGATAAACATCGAAATAAGTCCAGAAGTATTCTTACACCACCACATTACTGATTATATGAAGTGAAGAACATCGAAATAAGTCCAGAACTATTCTTACACCACCATATTACCGACCATGTGAAGGAAAAAACCTCAAAATACGTCCAGAAGTAATATTTTACCACCACATTACTGACCATATGAAGGATAGAACATAGAAATAAGTCCAGAAGTATTCTTACACCACATTACTGACCATATGAAGTAAAGAACATAGAAATAAGGTCAGAACTATTCTTACACCACCATATTACTGACCATATGAAGGATAAAACATCGAAATAAGTCCAGAACTATTCTTACACCACCACATTACTGATCATATGAAAGATAAAACATCGAAATAAGTCCAGAAGTATTCTTTCACCACCACATTACTGATCATATAAAGGAAAGAACATAGAAACAAGTCCAAAAGTATTCTTACACCACCACATTACTGACTATATGAAGGAAAGAACATTGAAATATGTCCAGAAGTATTCTTACACCACCACATTACTGACCATATAAAGGAAAGAACATCGAAATAAGTCCAGAAGTATTCTTACACCACCACATTACTGACCATATGAAGGGTAGATGGATATACGTGATATTATACTTGATACCATACGTGATATTATACTTATACGTGATATTATACTTGATACCAT